CGGTGATTTATTTTTTAAATACAACTTTAAACAAATTTTTATATCTTTAGGTTCCATATTTGATCAGAGAAATTTTTCGTTTTTAAAATATCTCTACGGATATGGGTTTTTGTTTGCAGTATGATTAGGAACTAATAAAAAAAAAATACTACATGTAAACAAATACTAAATCACTTAATTAATTTTCGTACAATTTAATATTTACATTGTCAATTACATTTTTTTATAAATTCTTATTATCACTTGCACATTTGTTTTTTTTTTTTGACAATAATATTATTATTAAGAAAAATATAAAACCATTGTCAAAATAAAAAAAACAATTTTATAAAAAAGAAAATAATATGATAGAAATTTTGTGCAATTAATTTAAATTAGTCTATCCTAATATTATATATTTTTTAATTATAAAAAAAAAAATGTGGTATATTTTATAGAATCAAAAATGCTTACCTTCATAGCCATTTTGCAGTTCTTTTCGTACAATTTTTAAAGTTTTTGTAAAATAAAATGGTAGTTTCTTGTGTAGATACAAATAGCGAAATGTATGTAATGAATATTCGGTCTTGGAATACGGTATTTATACAATAGGTAAATCAGAATCCCTTCTATTTACTATATTACCATTATGCCTACCAATTTATCTCGTGCCTTAATTGTGTAAATATTTATTGAGCGTTACGTCGGGTAATTAAAAAAAAAAAAAACTTAGGATACCCTAATTTGTATATATTTGTGTATAATTATAACACTCATACAAACGTAACATAACATGTAATCTTTGTAACATGTAATATTTGTACACTGGATAGTTTTAGACTATGAGCAGAGCAAGGAATGTATTTATTGTTTTTAAAATAATCTTTGTAATTTTTTTTCAATTTTTTTATGTGAACCATTTTTCTACTATAAAACTTATTCCGAAAATCAAGTATGCACCTTTTTCTAAAATTTAATGTTCTCTGCGCGGTAATTTTGAGGGGTAATTTTTTGAAATTTTCATTAATATTCATGATAATGAGAATAACCTTATTTTTTAGCTTCAAAAAGATTAAAAGACTAAGAAAATATGTTCTTATTTTATATATATATATATATAATGTTGTTATTATATATATAGCAACCGATTTTATTTATATATTTTTATTATTAACTTTTCATTGTTTTTCAAACAATCATTAAAGTCACGGAAACGTACATTGTAATCGTTTTATCTAATAGAAAATATTTATTATTGAAAAAGCAACCCTATGAAGTGACCTTCGCTCAGAATCGTTTTTTTTATTATCAATGGTTATCTACAAATGTTAATTAAATTATTATCCGTATCCTACCTCTCTAACTTCCCACCTCCAACAATAACTGCAATATTGTGCCAAGTATGTCCGTATTTTTATATTGCATAAGTTCAAAATAATTTCAAATGATTTACGATTATAATAAAATTCTATAACATTTTGATCGTTATGGCATATTACAAAAAAAACAATAAAAATAGTACTTTTATCCAAAATTATAACCACCCTATTGATTATTACCCCTTAAAATTCGGTGTTCAGATATTTTTAGCAGAAAAAAGTAATTGTTTTTGTTGATCTATTGATTACCTTGGTAAAGCGGATGAAAATAAAATGTGGTAAATGTACATAAAAATAGTTTATTAATTATTCTTTTGGTTCGGGTAATGTCAGACGAGCCCGCTCGTAGGACATAATATAATAAGAAAGTTACTGATATTTTATGACTCCTTAAAAACTAGATAAAAAGGCATAACTAAATTGAGCTTATAACAAGAACATATAACATACAAAGGGATATTATGTTTTTCCCCAAACATTGTTTTTAGAAACCTAAAGTTATCAATTTATTTGATATTATAATCTATTTATCAATTACACGATAATTATCATATTATCAATTTTTTTTTGAATATAATAAAATACCGAGTTCGATACGAAATATCAGCACGGTATCTAACCGACCACCAATATTATTTTAAATTATATTTTAGGCACATGTTTTCAGCATAATCGAAATTTGAAAATTTAATAAACAGCCACTGTTGTAGGTGTCTAGTAGGGAAGAACACATATAGAGTTATTTAAGCGATATAAAACATAGGTACGCAAATTTTTGAAATGTCGCGCATTTTACGGTTTTTGAATTAATTTTGAACTTTTTTTTCCCGTATAAAAAACATACTAAATATGCCCAAATTATAACGTCAGCTTGATGTATCAATATCGAACTATGGTGTATTTTACTACGTTTAATTTAAGGAAAATATACTATTTGTACATATATTATTATTAAAAAAGTAAAAACAAAAGATATACTTATAGTTTTATAACAGAAAAAATTGACCATAATTTTAAATAACAATGTAGATCTGAAAATAAACAAACAATAATGGTTTAAATAGGCAGTATGATTGGATACAATTTGTTTATTTATATTTAATTTGTACAGCGATAACATCACAAAAGGTATACATTTGCATGATAAAAAAAAATTCATAATTAGTACCATAGAAAAAAATTTGAATCTTTTACGAATTGTCTTTTGCACATTTTCGCATTTCATTTTGGTCTGCCCAAATAAGAATTAAATTTTGTAGTTTAAAATAAGTCAGACATTTTAAGGGAACAAAAATTACCAAAACAGGTTAAAAAAAAAAGAATTACAAGTAAAATATGTAAAGTTATATGCATAAGAGTGATGACGCACGGCCATTCGATTGTTAAGCAAGGATCGCTTTATATACAATTTATGTCAAGTTGATGAACATAATCAAAACATCACATTAAGGATGTAAAACTAAAGTGGTGTACATGTATAGTAATTAGATCGGGTAAACAGACAAATAAATAAACACTATACAAAATATTCAATATGTTAAATTAATAGTTTATTTATTAATTAACAAACAATAAATTAAACATTGTTCATTCCGATGTTGTAGGAATGGAATATGAGCTGTATTGTTTCTAAAACGGAAAGTTCAGCAAATCAACGATTGCGGGGTTTTTGTATTGAAGAGTTTGAATGAAGGGGTCAGCGAATCTCACGGGGCTGGTTTGTAGGCGGGTGCTGGGTAAGCTGGTACTGGGTACGCGGTTGCAAAGTTGGCCGGTTTGTAAGCTGGGGTGGCTTTGTAAACTGTGGCACAGTAAGACGGGGTGTCTTCCTTCTTGAATTTCGCGTTTAAACCGTAGTCTTCAGCGGTGTATTCGACGATCCTCTTGGTGCCGTCGGCTTCGATCGGGCTGTAGTATCACTTGACGGTTTTGCCGTCGCTGTATTCCGATTGGCTCTTGACGTCGTAGGTGGATAGGTCGTTTACGCTGTATTCGAAGCAGTACGGGGTCGGGGCGTATGCGGGCTCTGGGGCGTAGGCCTTTGGTGCAGAGTAGGCCGGTGCTGGGTAAGCCGGGGCGGCAAATTGGGCGACGGCAGCGGCCACGCAGGTGTCGAGAATGATCGTCTAAATTCCCGGTTATGTAAGACAAAGTGTTGTAGGGAAGGTTATTAAAAAAAAAGTTGTGCGAAATAATATCGTATGACTAAAACAGAAATATTCCGCATTTATCCTTTTCTTTTTAAACTATTCAC